ATATTCTAGGGCTGTTGTATCGTCCAAACTCGCAATTAGCGGTTCGAATTTGCAATTATTTTGCAAAAAAAAGTGTTTGCAGAGTAGTTTTGCAATTAATTTTCCCATAAAAATGATCGCAAAGAACCGATACTCAGACCACACCGACAAATGTCGATTGAAGCTTAGACTTTTCCGTTGACCGAGGCATAGTTCGCGTTTTAATTCGTTTGTATCAGTTGGTATTTATTGCAGTGTCTTCCGCCATACGTCTTACTATCATGGAGGATGTCGCCATCTGGCTTATACATGCATTGCAGCAACGTAAGCATATTTTTGTATAGAAGTTCTATTACGATGTGAGTTGGGAAGTTGGAGGACAGCAATGAAAAAAGTAAAAGGGGAGAGAACTACGAGAAATCTTGATCTTTTACTTCAAGACGGGCGGTACGATAAATTGGTTTTTCTAGGAACGAAACTGGATTATCTGATAAGTCAAGCAGTGAAAAAAAAACGAATGGATGCGGCCTGAAACCCAAAAATGAGACCCTTTGTTCCCTCGTTTCAGCTCTGGGTGAAACAACGTCATCAATGTAAACCCTCTGCTCTGCCGTTTCGCTAGAATAGCTGGAGTCCGATGGGGGGGTCCAACAGCTAGGACGGGGGCAGAGGAACAAGGCATCCAAATGGTAGCGTAGGGCCTCGCAAGGCCGCTACGGGCCCACGAACGAAAGTGCCACGTATCGCTTCTTGAGGGCCAGGTTCCCTTCATATTAGACATGCGAAAGAGCGAAAGAAGGCAAAAAGTCAGTATTTAAGAGTAAGTTTGTATAATTCAGAGGCTGCAATGGCTCAATTCTCCATTATGGACACGCCAACGCGCCCAACGATAAGCAGATCAAGGACGGTGATATGTGCTTGTTTGACATGGGGCCCGAGTACAATTGCTACGGTAGGTTACGATCTAATCGTTCCTCCTGTTGCTGTAGCTGTAGCTTTAACAAACAATTAACACCTCATCAGCGTCCGATGTAACTACATCATTTCCTGCGAACGGGAAGTTTACCGATAAGCAGAAAATAGTCTACAATGCGGTACTTGAATCAAACCAGGCAGTGTTCAAAGCCGCTAAGCCAGGTAGATCTCCCTGTACCTCCCTTATGGATGAAAGAAATTCATGAACAATGTATTAAGGAGTTCGATGGACCGACATGCATATTTTATCAGAGAAAGTAATACTCACACATCTCAAAAAGGCAGGGCTACTTACAGGTTTGTTCAGAACATACCAACAACTACAAAACCAGTACATAGAAAATGCTGCTTTACTCATCTGTTCCAGGTGACATTGATGAGATGGTCAACGCAAGGCTTGGAGCCGTGTTCATGCCTCACGGGCTTGGTCATTTGATTGGTCTCGATGTTCATGACTGTGGTGGTTATCTTGGGGTACTTTTTGATAGACTATAGCCAGATATCCACCCAATATCGCTAATAATTTTTTTGGCAGGATGCATTGCCACGATCGGATCTCCCCGGGTTGAAATCTCTGCGTACTACTAGAACGCTCAAAGAAAGAATGGTAAGAATGAAAGGGACTGGTTGATGCGAATTTGCGAACTAGCTCCAAATTTGAAGTGACTTTCCAGGTGATTACAATTGAACCTGGTTGCTATTTTATTGATACACTGCTCGACGCCGCCTTCAAGGATCCGAAGCTAGCGAAATTCATGGTGAAGGCAGAAATCGACAAATACCGCGGACAAGGAGGGGTATGTGTCATATGCGCTTGCCCATAACAATAAATTCTTCATCGTATACCTGCTCAGGTTCGTATCGAAGACGACGTGGTCATTTGGGAGAAAGGCAACGAAAATATGAGCGACGTACCGAGAACAATTGAGGAGATCGAGCATTTCATGGCGTCTGAAGAGTTCAACGACGCGACAGTCCAGAAGAGCATCAGCAATCACCTTAACAAACACTGACTCGAATTTCTCATTCCCCACGGCAATACGACACTGTGATATCAGTTATTGTTAATGGAAATATTCTGTTTATTCATTGTATATGAGATTACATGCCTTCACTTTACTGTATCGATCTAATACACTGTGATGCAAGAGTGATCTGTCAGTGTATTTCGACGAAGCGGTAAAAACAGGGTAGTGGCAAGTAATACTGCTTACCGCGCGTACGGTCTGAGAACCAAACCTGCATCGTGCCTTCCATCCCTCCGGGGTCGGTTAATTGGTACCAGACTTGTCTGGGGGATAAAAACACTGACTTGTACATCGGCTGGCCCCCGCAAGTCATTGTATAGGCCACATCGCATTCAAACGCCACTACGAATGTACAAATGGAAGTAGAATGCGTGCCGCATCCCAAAAAGGGATTGATCAACGGCAAATGCTTCTATCCTTTCATTTTGGACGCAGAATATAGAAGACGACTTGGTGCTGGAAATGGCGCCGAACAAAAAGTTATCATTGAGCTTGGCGCTTATGAAAATCTACCAACAGATTCCCATAGAGTTGAGAAAAAAGAACGACTCGGATGAACGCGAAAAGAAACGAGAAAAAGAACGCGAGACTTGATTGCGGAGCGTTCAAGTGTTGGCGGTGCCCTTGTGAGTGCATCATCCTCACTGGAACACTATCAGTTTGAATCGCGGATCGAATGCTTCTTGGGCGCCATTGCTCTCTAGTTTTTTCATGTCTTACTTTCGCTATTTGGTGCTTCTCATGATGTAAGATTATCATCCTAAAGAAGTTTATTTATTTATTTATTTATTTCTATAACGTCCAGTGGACGCGCTTGGACAGAGCATATTCGAATAGAAATACTATCAGACGCTAAAAAGGCAGCAGTCGTCCTCAGTTGAGTCACAATAATTGATGGTCAACTTCTTGACTTAAAGCCACGAGTCAGGCTCAGTGGACCAAACCAATCACTTTAGTCGTCTATGTGCATGGCTACGCACCCACAGGGACGTTGCCATGCTCAGAATCTCAAAAGGCGCCGTAATAACGCCCCAGGGCATGCATTAAGCGCTCGCGCCGCCTGGAGGCGCTCCGGCCGCCCACCATGGGATGTGGTGCGTGGCTGGCATAACGTGTGAAATCAGCTAGGTTGATTGCCGTATCAACCGATAGAACGACTGACATCTCTCCAGAAAACTTGTTTGTACGTGCCTCTTTCCCAAGCCAGCCTCCTTCACTGCTAGTGGGAAAGAGGGTTTTGTTAACGGCCTTGTCGACGGTTTTTCTCAGTTTTTTCTCCACTGTCGTTCCACTTCGCATCTCTATACTCAGTTTCAATCGCCATAATACCCCCTTTTAAATAACTTCGGGGGGGCGAGCCCGACTCTGCCTTTCACACCGACCTAACCAACTTGTAAAGGATAAAAAGCGAGAGAGGGGGCAGTTCAAAAGATTCCTTGAGTATTTTTTTTTCGAACTCTGGGTCATACACTAGGTTGATCAGTGAATTTGTGTACAGATTTGGAAGTAACAAAGAGCATTGCCATGAGCCATAAGGTTAGTGCCTCAAAGATAACCCTACTGCGAGGCCGCAGCCCTACTAGGGCGGGCGATAGAAACACCTCTTTGATCTAAATACGACCCACCTTCATCCCCCCCATTAATGGTATAGGTTTGATCTGAAGCTTTGACTGAGCAGACTGGCAGACTACAATCCTTTTTGCTCACAACATAATCGTGAATAATATACAGTAAAACTGCTAGCTAGAGTGAAATTAACACTTTCAAATAATATCAGGAAGACCAATCACACGAAGAAGATCAATTTTCTTGATAGCTCTTTTGAATTTGTCGGAATTATAGAGGTTGCTAAATTGCGCTAATTGGCGGTGGTCACTTCAGTAGAGAGGATTATGTGTCCTTAAATTCTTTATGCAGTAGTCTTCAAGGCTTTCTGTTATCTGGATTTGATTGGAGCATTCATGAATCGGCCCACCGTTCTGATCACAGTGAATATTAACTTTCTCAAGAACTTCAGGATTTCCTACAGAGAATTCATAATTTCTCCTTCCTTACCTTCCCCTTCGGCTGCCACATGCATGTATTGAGAATCCAAGAATCGTACTTATAAGGTGCATTCAAAATACCAGAGTAGCATTTCTAGTTGGAGTTAAATATTTGCCCTTCTCCTCGACGGGACCAGTGTTAAGATCAAAAGCACTGTTCAATACCTCTACGCTCGCCTTTCTTCAACCTTGGCATTTGCTCGGATATGTAGCTGATGTGCTTCTGTGCCAAGCAGGTTTCCTTAAAGGCAGCGATTATGTTAGCTTCTAGAGAGGTTTAGATGAGACCTGGAGGTGAGCAGTGTATGCTAGAGGTGAAAAAGGAGAGAAATCCGTTCAAAAAATGCAAAACGCCCCCCCCCCCGCTCTCCTTGTTTTGCAGTTGATTTTCGCCGCTCTTTATTTCTATCAGTTTACATCTGCTCTACAGGGTACCGCTACAGTGAAATTCCTTTTAGGTGTACTATTGTGCCATTCGTATTCTATGCGGAAAATGGGGCCCTGAGCCCCTATTTCCCCCAGTTTCATATTGTATGGTCAATGCCTGACTACTCCGAGCGAGGACGACGATGGGAGAGCTGAAAAGACTGCGCATCATCACATTGGTGTGAGACTGTAGACTTCCAAAGGCACTGTAACCACAAGGGGTTAGGTTAGGCGAATATGTTAGATGTAGCATGTCACATTCCCAGTAATGCGCTAAGTCTGTCTGTGTGTCTGTCTGTTTGGCCGTCTGTCACGAAATCACGAAATTTGGTACTACCTAAAGAAGCATTTACAGAGTCCCGGCCAATTCTGAGCTAGGAGAAGCATAGATAAAAACAAAAGACATCACCTCGGCGGAGCAGCGCTCACGGTGGGCGAGGCACGCGCGAATTGGGCGGTGCCGATGATAAAAGTTTTGACGGCTGTAAAACAGCCCGAAGACCGGGAAAAAATGGGTAGCGGTGTGCACTGAGTCAATAAGTCTAATCAAGGAGACTCTCGCGGTGGACGGGGCGGTGCTCAATAAAAAATTCCTGTTAGGAAAGAGCCTAATAAGCACAACAAAAATCGTTTTAGGAGAATGATATCTGAGATGTTCTCAGCATACTTGAACTGGATGGAGGCTCTCCCACAAAGGGCAGAGCGTATTCATGAGTGGGCGGTGTTCATTACAAATTCTCTATCTCGGTTCCAAGCAGGGTCAACCCTATCGTTGTTACTCTTTGGACATTTTTTACGACCCCCCCCCTTCATGGGTGATTTGATACGACCCCCTTGTATGTGACACTTGTGTAGAGACAGTGTTTACCATCAATATTTATTTCTATGTAAGTCATCAAAGATGAAACTTTAGCAAAAATCCTGCTTCCAAACACGAAAAAATGAGATGCATTCAAAGATATCCGTGTATCCAAAGGGTTACCAAACTAGGAGATGAAATAAACTGAACCAGTGACCGGAATATTGACAATATTACCTGATAAAAACTTATGAGAAGTCAGAAAAAATTATCGCTCCAATTGAAATACTGAAATCCTTCACGTTCTTCAATTGCAACACAATTTTTACACCCCTCTTTCTAAGGCTATAACTTCCTTCATATTCGAGCTTCTGCGCCGAAGTGATTTGATTTGGAAAATTCAAATTATTCTCTCTCCAACCATGGGTAAAAATTCTTCGAAAGTTAATTTAATAAAAATTTAGTACGTTGTTACTTTTTTCTGTGCAAAGCGACTTTTTGACCTTCAAACGATCATAACTTCCTTCAAAGTCATTCATTTGGGAAGCTGAACACGTATAATAAACTACAGGATTCAAGCTTTCTAACGAGCACCCAAGCGTTCCTGAAAGATCAGCAGTTCAAAAATTAGTCCCGTTGTTACTTTTTTTTGAGGGGTATTCTTCAAGCCATTTTCTCGAAAACGCGGAGTTTTCTTAGGTTTCACTGCCCGTAACTTCTTGGAAGACCAATTTCATGTTTAATTTAGGATGTGCTAGAAAGCTTCGAGCATGCGCTTGCACTACATCCCTTGCCTTGGTGCGCGCCACGCCTCGGGCGCCCTTCTAATTCGCTGATTCATTTGAAAGCTCATTTAGAGGGAAGCGTGGTTTATAGATGCTCTAGTATCAGTCATCTTACGAAAACGTAACGTGCTGGCTATTATCCGATATTACCAAGAATCCCACTGTCGGCCACCGAGAGGGTACCGAACCCCCCCCCCGTTGTTACTCGTAACAACGTAGGGTTGACCCTGGTTCCAAGCAGCCCCGAGACCGAAAAAAGAGGGTATAGGTTGGTAAAGGAAGACAGATTACCTGTTGTCGGTGGTGGAGCGTGCCTAAAATGAGCGGAGCTTGCCAAGACACTCATGATTCGGTTCATGGAGTTCTAGAAAACCGGAGAAAAATGGATAAAAGGAGAGAAGGCCGAACTCCGATGGTGAGCGTAGTGTGCACCGAAGTGGGCGGAGTTTGCCACAAAACGTAGTGACCCGGTCCTAAAAGCGCCGGAAAACGGGAAAAAGTTGATAAAGATGGTGAAGAAGAGGATGAAGAAGGTGGGGCGTGTGCCGATGTGCGCAGTTTGTCAGGAAGATTCTAGCAATATTGATGGCCCAGTTTTATTTTATCTCACTGCAGTCCCGTGTGATGCACGCGAATGTGTGCGCAGCCAAACTGGTCCAACATATTTACCTAATCTAATCCCTCATGGTTAATAAGGAAGTTTTGAGGGAGGGAGCCTCTCTCGCAATTGTTTCAGTGACAAAGAATCCACGTCGTGGAAAAAGTCCTAAGAAAATTTCTCAAAATCGAGCATTGGTGTAGGCGGAATACTCTGCAGCGAGGGATGACGTTCCCACCCATCGTATTGCAGACATTGTTGGTCGCCAACGTGAAGTCATGACCATGATGTCCGTAGTAGACAATGGCTTCGAAAATTGGCAAATAGCTCAAGTTTTTGGATGGCACTAATAAATACCCTTTGCGGCGACTTTGTGTACCAGTGGTGGGAGCAGCAAGCATGTCGTGCCATGTCATACATAGTTTTTACCCACAATTTTTTTGGCAAAAAAAAGAAAATTGAGAGAAGTTTGTTGCACAATTGTTTAAGGACTTTTCTTCCGAAGTATTCTGTGTGAATTACCTGGAAAATACGTGATTAGTTGGATCTCCTCCGCAGACGGAATAAATGACCCCATTCTGGGTTCTCAGAACGACCAAAGCGATGGGTTGTCCAATTCCAACCACTGCATCCCTGCTTTTTAAAGGGTGCTAACTTAGTTGGGGGGGGGCACGCGGCGGCGCGGCAGTCTGCTCACCTGGGCTCTCTCGAGCGAGACAGTGTAAACTCGAACATTCCAGCTTTTCACGCATGTCAAGTGACTGCCCCCACCCCCACCCCCTAGACTGCTACACTCCCCCTGGCCCACGGATTTCCGAACATGCCAGGCGAGCAGACTGCCGCGCCGCCGCGTGCCCCCCCCCCAACTAAGTCAGCACCTTGAAAAGTGTTCTTACTTCCGCTAATCAATCAGTCAACGGAATGAATTGACTCGATTCCTTCAAAGTACCGCAGCAAAACCAAGGAAAGGACAGAACACTTATGGTTCCTTGATTTTTGCTCACTAAAGGCATAGACATCGATAGCGATCCCATAATCAGTTCACCGAAAGATCACGAAAGCACAGCTACTGATAAAGGGTTATCGGCCGACTGTTACTGCAGACCAATCAAACGGTTTTCTTCATTACGCGGTCAACGTCAAGGTCACCTTGTTATTTTTTGAGCTCTGGTAGTCTCTGAAGGAACAGACTATTGCTAATATGACCAGCAGAATTCTATTTTGGTAAACCCTCGAACTAGTAATCCTTGACCATAGGCATAGCGCTCTTAGTGAAAAGCAGTGTTTTTCTGCTTACAAGTAAATGTGAAGTTTTGTTTCTTTACTGCTGTTTTGGGCCGCAGTTCGCTTTTTGAAAGTTTCACAAAAACACTGGGTTATGCACAAAACTTGGTACCGCCTGGGGCGAAAGTTTTGTTCATAACCCAGTGTTCTTGTGTATGTGTGCAGTATTTTTTTTAGAATTTGTAAAACCCTTCAAATAAAACTCTAACAAGTTTGGAGAGTAATATTGACTCCGGTAAAAACATAGTAATTAAGATAATAACAAAAATGAATTAACTTGGTTTTATTTGTTAAAAAAATTACTAAAAATTCAAGTTATTTAAAAATGAATCACAAGTAATTGAAAAATGAATTAGTTGGATGCAATTTGTTCCTATATTGAACATGATAATTCGTTGTAAAAATGTACTGTTAACACGTTGACGACAGCGCAGGTTTTGGCTTTTTCCGCCGCATGGGACATGGGCAGTTTGGCGGGCGCGATTTGCCTGACGCGCAAGCGCGTCAGCTTGTCCCACGAGGTGCGTTTTTCGGAACTCAAAACTGAAAAGTGGCAAAACAAGGGTACAACGCTAATTGGGAGGAGGGGGCTTCCGGTAAGACGCGCGCTGCTTGTCTCTACCCTCTCAGCGAAATACTAGTGATGACATCAATGCAGAATAAGGAATCCATGAGTCTCGGGGAGTATAGCCAGTTCGGGAGATGGGGAGAGAGGAGGGTCGGGCGATTTGAATGACATGCGTAGAAAGCTGGAATGTGCATGTTCACACTATCTCTTCGGATAAATGACTCCAAGAAAGTGGTCGAATCACAGCTGAACGTTGAGCATGAATACTTCCTAAGTCAGTTGCTTCCCACGTGACGTATGTCAGAAGAAGAAGGTAAAGGTTCGAAAGGAATTAACAGAAGAAAGTGTTTAGAACGTTATGCAACTATCTCTAAAGAGCAAGGATCGCTTTGCGGCTTAACAAAACAAAAAGGGTTAAAACGCGCTGCGGAAGATGTAGAAAATTCTTTGTATAGACTGCTCAAATGAAAAACACAAGTCATCTCATCCATAGAACCGTAATTCCTTGACATTATGTATCACATTGTTGTTTGCATTTATATTTTGTTTTTATGCTTGTTTACCCCAAAATAGTAGTCGAAGATTGAACTAAACGGAAAATTTAGTGAGGTTCAGAAAACCTTCGCTTAACTAAAGCATATTCAACCGCTTCATGGACCACACCGTTTACAGGCATGATGATGTATTGTCTAAATAATAGTAATAAAAAATTTCGGAATAAGTCGGACAGGTGCGGAAGAAATGGGTACCAAGATGCTGACGCGCATGCGCGTCAGAATGTCCAATGCGGCGCCAAATGTCTGACGCGCTTGCGCGTCAGCCTGTCGTCAACGTGTTAACACATTCACAAGGGCGCCTCTTTTCGACTTTTCGGTCGCCTGGGACAGACGCGATTTCAATTAAAACGACGAGTAATGGTAATGAAAACGGAACATTCATCCATTTTCTTCGCAGTGGAGGCTAAGAACGTTTTTAACTCGGTTGTTTCGCTTAACCACATACCTTTTCATTTATAGTGCTTTGTATCTACAACTATCTTTTCTTTCACATATTTGTGGCAACAAAAAGAAAAGAGAATAATCAAACTAAAAATCTAATACCTCAAAAAACCTTTCTAAAATCAAGCATATGTAACTTTCGATGAATCCTGTCGTTTACGGTTACGCGTGAGTCCCTATTTCATTCGTTTATATCAGATATACCCAAAAATAAATGACGATATAATGACTGGCAAGCGATTATTAGCTGGCAGCCCATATGAGCTGCCTTCGTGCCACGAGCACCCTTCTTTGGCAGGCCATAGGGGCTGCCACCGGCGTAAATGTGCTAAAGAAGAAGGATTTTTTACGTCGTTATAGGTATGTATGGATGAGCGCGACATGCAGTGACTTTTAGGCAGGCGTGCTTGAAGAGTATCAAAACACCTCAAATTTTTCAGTACTTTGTCGCAAATGTCGTATAGCTGCGGTGAAAACACACTAAAGGTCTCAGCAAAACTGTTTGCTGAGAATCGAGTCCGTCTTGTTGCAGCACTCAAGGTTCCTTTTTTTTACATTATTTTATGAGAACTTCTCCCGACCACTCCTACATGGTTGCTTCCGGTGCTTTGTTAGAAAGCTTACAATTAGATTTCTAGATAGCTACTCATTACTAATGCCAGAATTTGACGCCTGCATCTTCAGAATGTTGCGCCAGGAAGTGTAGTGCTTCTACAAGGAGGAATCGAAAAGCATCGTTACAATACTGACTCAGAAGATTTACCGTTCAGACAGGTAGCTGCTCGCTTTCACTGTCCCTAGCAAGTCTGTTACCAACAATAAAACCGCCCATGTCGTTACGTATAATAAATGTATTGATAACTGTATCTGTGTGTCGGCGCATCTTAAAAAGCTGAGCGTTTCTAAGTTTTCCCTTTTTACTCAACATATATCGTGGCACTTTCAAGCATTGTTCCATAGAAGGATATTCTGTTCAGGAATCTTACTTCTTTTGGACCTTCGGTGTTCACGAAGACGGTTTCTTTGGAACTGTTGACGTCAGATCAGGGAAGTCATGCCTTTTTGCGCCCACGCTCGATCCCAGCTATGGAATTTGGGCCGGCAAGTGTGTTTAGAGCATTTTCGCTGTTTATTCAGAAACACAGCGAACAGTAAGGCTACAAAATTCCCCTGTCTAGGATTCACGACGAATCGTTTTTTAAGAAGAAATACGAAGTTGACGAAGTTCATTTCTTGGATGGAAATACCATAAGTGACTACCTTCAAAGGAATCAAGGCCAAAGAAGTTCTGCTATTGGTGAGTTATGGAATGGTTTTCACTAAAAAGGAATTCTTCAATAATGAATGAAATCAGAAAGCGGAAAACTCCGACAGCGGCAATGTTCTGCAGCCGCCGAATTTTCCCGGGAAAGAGTCGTATGTTTTGCAAAGTTTAGCTCATTAGAGGTGGTTCTTGACACCTACTGTGTACGATATTACATTGATATTGTATATTTAGTGCGAGTTTTCGCGAAACCGCTCCTTTAGGTATGTAAAGCCGCGACAC